TAAGATGTCCTTCACCCATCTAACCTTCAACTCTTCTCCAAACTAACAGGATGTATAAGAGGTCCTTCAACTCTACAAGGGAGTAAATCAGGTAACAAATTAGATGGTGCTTGCTGCATCTCTGGTTACCCTCCCACAACTACAGGGCTGCAATCTTGGCAGAATAGATACTAGGCGAGCATGAGTTTCCTTGTTGCCTTTCATTTTAGCCAGGAAACGTCATCAATTTGCATCTATAATTTATAACAGTTTGCCTTTCCAGAAAACCCTGGGTCTCTCTCATAACAGCCATCAGTATCTCCTGCAAGCTGAGATGAAATTTCCCTGGCTTCGAGTTGGGAACACTGTGGAGACTCACTGCCGTATTTGTCTCAGAAGGGAAACCTCATCTTACTCCCTGGTCTCCTGTGTGGGGCTTAGCTAGAAGTGACCTAGCGAGGGTTTCTAGACAGAGATGCCAAAACCCTCGTCTATTTTAGGAACGTCTCAAGCGAAAGGAACTTGCTTTGCCTCAGGACCTCTGAGCTCTGTTAAGTTTTGGGACAGAGATGGCAAAAGATATTTTTGCTCTTGAGGCAGAAATTCCAAATTAGTCTCCAAAATATATTGGGATATCTCCAGGGATGCCTTTTACCTGTTGTGCAGAATCGAGGGTTCCAGGCAACCCAATGTTTGGTTTAAGCAACAGCAGTTTAACAGTTTGCTGTCCTTTTGTGATATCCCTCCAAAAATATCATCTGATGAAGTTTATTTAATTTCAGAAGTCCAAATCAAGAACCAGTGGTCAGCAGAAGCAGTGGTTTGAGTATTGGACCCAGACTCTGGATATCAAGGTTCAATTCCCCGCTCAGCCAAGGAAATACACTGGGTGACCTTCGGTGAGTCACACAGTCTCAGCTCCAGAAAACCCCATGATAGGTTCACCTTAGGGTCGCCATAAGTCGGAATTGCCTTGATGGCACACAACAACAACAAAGTCAGCAGAAGCAGCATCACCATTGCCATCTGCAGAAAGAAACTGTGAGTCACCCACCATTTTGATGTTCTGGGAATGATGCTATGTCCTTCTGAGGCATTGTGGAAATATCAAAACGGTAGTTTCCGGATTCTTGCCATTTGGTAAATCCAAGCCAGGGACAACAACTAGCATGGCTAGCCACATACATATTGCCAAAAACGAGGAAAGAGGAAGATGACAAGAAACTGGAGAATCAGGGGTCTTTTCTTATTGTTGTGTGCCTTCAAGGTGCTTCTGATACATGGTGACCCTAAGGCTATCCTATCATGGGGGTTTCTTGGCAAGATTTGTTCAGAGGAGGTTTGCCATTGCCTTCCCCAAGGCTGAGACGATGTGACTTGCTCAAGGGATCCATGGCTAAATGAGTGTGAATGAGCAATATGTAAATCTATGTGCATGACTGCATGAATCCTCAGTTGCCATAGGATGCACAGCCCATCATTTCAGGCGCTGTAGCGGCTGAAGCATCTTCTGAACTCTATCAGAATTGCTTATGTAATAGACCTTTAAGCAAAGCAAGAAGAGCAACAATGGAAACATCACTCTCGAGCATTGTCTTGTCTTTTGAATCAGCAGAGGGCAGTCTGCTGCAGAGTAAATGGGAAGAGTAATGTACAAGAAACAGAGCCTTCAGAACTGTTAAAGAGGAAAAGTGAAGCATCCTCAGGAGATAAATCTTTAGTGAAGGAGATGTGGGCTCCTTATAGCCCTCTGGATGGGCCTATTGGATTGCAACCCCCATCATCCCTAACAACAAATGTTTCCTTAACTGTGCTGTATCCCTGTATTCTTGGTTACCTTTTGGTTCTCATTTCGGACTAATTATTGCACCCATCCTCTGATCTGTTGTTGTTGTTGTTGTTGTGTGCCTTCAAGTCGATTCCGATTTATGGCAATCTTAAGGTGAACCTATCCTGGGGTTTTCTTGGCACATTTCTTTGGAGGAGGGTTCGCCATTGCCATCTTTGAGGCTGAGAGAGGGTGACTTGCCCAAGGTTACTCACTGGTTTACCCTGTAAATCCTCTGATTTACCCTAAGATTTTAACTTACAATGGGAAGAGGGAAAATCAGTAAACAGTTGTCCCTCCATTTTCATGGGGGATCCGTTCCAGACCCCCTCTTGCGAAAATGAAATCCGCAAATATTCAAGCCCCATAGGCTTGAATGGCCACATGCTCCTGTGCGTGGCTCTGCGCATGTGCCATGGCCACATGCACCATTTTAACCCTCCTTGCTTGCCCAAAATCCATGAAAATGGAGGGACGAGTGTATTTATATTTCAGCGCAGAAATGCTCTTCAGTAAAGAAAGGTACGAGGGCCAGTGTGCCATAGTGGTTTAGTTGTTGGACTGTTACTCTAGGAACCAGGGTTCGATTTCCAGCTCAGCCACGAAATCCATTGGGTGACCTTGGGCAGATCACATGCTCTCAGCCTCAGGGGAAGGCAACGGCAAACCTCCTCTGAACAATCTTGCCAAGAAAACCCCATGATAGGTACACCATAGGGTTGTCATGAGTTGGAAACAACTTAAGACACACAACAATGACAACAACAAAGAAAGGCATGACCCTGCGTTTCTAAGACCAGACCAGAGCAGTTTTTGAAAAGGTGTTCTGAAAATTAAGTGTGCCTTTTATTCCATCGGGGATAAGGCGCTTTAAAGCCAACGGTAGTGATGTTTGAGATGGAAATAGAGAAACACATCCCTAAACGCACCAGGTCCCACCTGATCTTGGAAGCTAAGTAGGGTCAGCATTGGTCAGTATTTGGATGAGAGAACGCCAATGAATACCAGGTGCAGTAGGCTATGTTTCAGAGGAAGGAACTGGGAAAACCATCTCTGAGTATTCCATGGGCATTTGTAGTTTCTCCAGAGCAACTCTATGGTCAACTTCAACCAAAAGCCACATTGAAGGACCTAGAGATTCCTGGAGAGGATACTCTATAAGCATTTGTAGCTTCTCCAGCGCAACTCTGTGGTCAACTTGAACCAAAAGTGCCACTGAAGGACCTAGAGATTCCTAGAGAGAATACTTTGCTAGGCATTTGTAGCTCCTCCAGCGCAATTCTATGGTTAATGTCTGGCAGATGTTGACCACAGAGTTGCACTGGAGGACCTAGAAGCAATTCCTAGAGAGGCGTCTTCTCAGGTAAAAACATAAGTGTTTTTGTTCTATGCAGTTTTTCCACATTCATGGGGGTCCTGGGCTTCTAACCCTGTGAATGTGGCGGGACGAGTGTATATACAATAGCGGAGTAAAATGGTGTCCCTTATATAAAATTGTAACACTTTTTGTATGTGACTGGCCTTTGGTCTAAGCCAGGGACAGGCAACCTTTTGGAGACCTGGGCTGGTCTCCCGTAGCCCAGGTCTCGGCTGGGCCAAGGGGGGGGGAATGGCGGTGCGCGTGCACGGGTGCACACACACGCACCCCCCGCTGGCGCACGCGGCCCCCCGCGCACGCTGCTGCCGCAGCCACTACCGCACCCGCCGCCATAGCTTGCGCGGCCGCAGCCGCCACGGTGCATGTCGCGGCCCCCATTTTGGTAGTCCAAATCGCGGCTGCAACTCGTTTGCACATGTGCAAGAGTACTGTGCATGCGCAAACGCGTCGCAGCCGCCATTTTGACTTCCAAAATGGCGGCCGCAGCGAGCGTGGACGAAAATGGTGGCGGGTGGCGGCGGCAACGGTGGCAACCTTCTGCCTGGGCCAGTAAGTCTGGGGCCCAGGGCCTTAACCGGCCCCCGGGCCGTAGGTTGCCGGTCCCTAGTCTAAGCATTAATAGATGACTGCTATATAAAATAATATTTTATACTACTACGGTATATAAAATTGCAAAATCAAGGTTTGCCTTTTGGGATTTGTATATCTTTGGAATATTTTCAATCCATGAATGATTGAATCCATAGATAAAATAAATCCGTGGATACGGCGGGCCGACTGTACCTTGAAGAATCATGAAGAAAACTACCACAATATGATCCATCCGCCGAAGATATTAATTAACCTGGGATATTAAGCCATGCTGGGAAGTAGGATAAAATATTGGCTATTGAAGAGACAGGGTCAAGATAGCTGGAGAAAGTGCTTGGAAGGGTTACTCATCCCAGAAGCCAACAAGCTGGGTGGGGTTGCTGGGCATTGTAGTCCAAAAAAGTAATGTTTTTCCAAGCTCTGGTTGGGAATCCCCTGCTGAACCCTTGTGCTTTGGAGCAGGAACATGACACCTATATTGCCAACCCAGGAAGACCTGAGACATTCCCTAAGAATGGTGCTAAGTCAGGCTTGGGGGATTTGGGTCAGCTGAGATATCTGATCCCTCCAATGTGGATGGAATTTCCTTACGGGTTGAAACAGTAGAGCTCTCACAAAATTCTCAGATTCATCATATGGCTTGAAACGGTCTCAAATAAAGCAACCGAGCGAAACCCAACTGAAATGGGTGGCGTGCGGGAGAGATATTAAAGGAGAGGGAGAATGAGATTTCACCAAAAACGTTGTGGGGTTAGGTCAAAATTGTATAATTCCAGCGTCAGCAGTCCTTACATAAACCGAGAATCTCCTCCAAATAGCCTCCCTGTATCAGCAAAAACGAACAGGGAATATCTAAGAGGTCCGTCGGCCATTCAAAACCAACTTTCAGGGGCCTACAGCTTATGGGTTTTGTTTGGGGTCAAAGGGGTGATAATAAAATGTGCTTTTAATCCAAGCTTGGGAAAGAGGCTTTTTTGGATTTCATCTCCCAGAGTCCACCAGCAGACATAACATATCCTCCAGCTATCCCAGTTTGGCACCCAAATGTTGTTCCACTCCTTGAAATGTCCCAGTTTCTCTCTCCTCCTTCCGCTTTTCCCTCATCTAACTTTACAGTTGCAGCAAACTGATGAGTTCCAAATGCAATTAAAACTCAACTTAGCAGAGGTGAAAGGAGAGAAGAAGTGGAATCTCTCTCTTCTCTGCAGCATCAGGCAAAAGCAAACTGCTGCAGTAGCGCCTAGCTTATCTCTTCCTCTTCTTCTTTCATAACTTTTCCCATCTAGACCACGCTCTGATGTTGTTTGGCCATACATGCCCCCATTTTTGTCTCTGAAATTTTGGAGGATATGGCATAGCCAGTGGTATGGAGGAGTTACTGTTCATAAAAGTAGTTTTTCCAAGTTCTGCCTTTATGATACATATATATATAGAGAGAGAGAGAGAGAGAGAGAGAGAGACATAAGAGGGATTCTGTGAGCTGTCATTCAAAAGAGTATCTTCCTCAGAATAATGGAATAATCATTATTCCAATAAAGGAATGATCATCATTCCAATAATGGAATAATCATCATTCCAATAATGGAATAATCATTATTCCAACATCTTTTAAAAGTTAAGACAATGATTTCAGAAACAGATGCACAACTTAAGTCTCACCAGTCAATGAGAGTTCAAACAATCTAAATATATGCAGAATTGCAACCTGAAGGGGACATCAGCCAACTAGTTGGTTCCAGTGAGACAGGTTTTTCCAGCAGAGGTTATCTACACATTGCACAGTTATATCAGTTTGATTCCTCTTTAACTACCATAGCTCCATCCACAAGTGGCTTGGGATCTATAGTTTGAAGGAGGAACTCAGAAATTCAGGGGAGTGGATGTAGAGTTCTCTAGAGAGCCAGTGCGGTGTAGTGTTTTGAGTGTTGAACTATATGACTCGGGAGACCAGGATTTGGATCCCGGCTTGGCTATGGAAACCCATTGGATGACTTTAGGCAAGTCACATACTCTCAGCCTGAGGATGGCAACGACAAACCCCCTCTTTGCCAGGAAAACTCCATGATAGGGTGGCAGTATGGTCACCATGAGTCAGAAACAACTTGCAGGCACACAACAAAAACGGCGAAATCAGGATTCCATGGGATTGGGCTTTGGCAGTTAAAGGGGAATCAAACTGCTATAACTGTGCAGTGTGGATACACTGCTGGAGGCCATTTCCAGAATCATAGAATCATAGAGTTGGAAGAGACCCCCAAGGGCCATCCA